GAGCCCTGCTGCTGCGGACGCCCGCCCGCCGGAGGCCCTCGTCTGCCCTGAAGGTGAAGGTGTTTCGGGGCATCTGCCGGTGTAGCGCGTCCTTGCCGAGCTTTGTTATTCGAGCGCGGGCGGTCACTGGGTTTAATTAAAAACGCCGCCATCATCCCGGCCTTCAGAGTCTTCATTCTTGCTTCATAAACTTTAACTCTTGGGGATAGAAGCCCTGCCCGTTTTGTTTTATTTATACATGAACTTATCCTTTCATATGCAGTTCCGTGGCCTCTGCTCCAGAGAAACTGGCTCGGATTTTTGTTAGGTTAGCAAAGGAATGCTGGGGGCTGCTTCTGCACCTTGCATCTGTATTATGAAATCCAGGAAACCAACCTAAGCTTTGCATTGTCTGTTCTCTCTGTTTCACAGGTGTACTATTGTGCAAGCTCGAGTAGACACACAGTTTACCTCTTGTGACCAAAAATGTAGATCAAGGCATGTGCCAGCATCACATTCTTAAGTTGCTAGCAAAAGGCCTAGTTTAATTAGCTGAAAGCACGTCCGTTTCCAGTATAGCAGCTAGTAATCAGAAACCTCTGTCCTAAGCGTGTCTTCTTGAGCTTAAGACACCAAATTAATTTGGAAGCATTAGGGCATTGTATAACGTACACTGTGTTACTTAGCAAAACAAGTGTCCCATATGGAGGAGCTGTGTACACCTACCTAGCAAGAATACCTTCCACATATTGGTTAAGTTATTGCTATCCCTACTTGTAGCTACAGTGATACAAACTTTACTGGTACTGGTATCAAGTTCTGTTTAATGATGCTTCAAATAATAACTTCTCTGAAGACTTTAGGTCTTCCTGAGAACTTAAAACTCCAAAAACACTTTAATCACAAGTTAAAGTTTGAATGAGTAAGAGAGAAGAACGTTAAAGCTACAACACTTGCTAACCATTTTCTTTCTGCAATCTCTTACAGGAAGGTTAAGACGCACTGTGCGGAGCCATTCACTGACTACTGGACGTGCATTGACTATACCAACTTGCAGGAGCTCCGTCGATGCCGAAAGCAGCAGGCAGTATTTGATAACTGTGTGCTGGAGAAGTTGGGTTGGGTGAGACCTGATCTGGGACAGCTCTCTAAGGTAACTTCATACCTTTTTGATCAGATGGCCAGGTTCTTCTTTCCCTTCTTAGGGGCATTTTGTCCAGACCAGGTCTCAAACCCTTCTCCTGGCCAGAAGGTGATTCATGAACTCAACACTGAAAGCTTGCGGACTTTACTAGAAGTCAAGACTCGGTCAGCGTTCTTCCCAGAAGACTTGCACTCTTTTTAGACAATGCCACTTACTCTTACTTTTTTGCTTTTCCTAGTGCAGAGACCTCTCCTTTAGGAGTGAAGCTCACACACATGTAGATCTACTCTGTAGTTATGAGTGAAATGCCCCTCCCTCTTTTTTTTTTTTAGAAGTAGTCTGGAGATGGGAGCTCTCATCAGATCAACAATGTGTCCTTAGTGTCGTTTGGTACTTCTTGGTAGTTCTTCCTTTAAGTTCTGACTCAGTCTAGCTTTTCTATTAAATGCTGTGAGAAGTCGTATCATTTCTTACTCTTTCTTTCTAGGTTACAAAAGTGAAGACGGACCGTCCTATGCCTGAGAATGCCTATCATTCTAGACCTAGACCAGAGCCAAATCCACCCATTGAAGGAGAGCTGAAGCCTTCTCTGTTTGGCAGTAGGCTCTTTTTCTGGTCCTGGTAAAGTGGGCAGGCTGTGCTGTAACTAAAGTGCAAAGATGGATTGCTTGCAAATGTAAATTGTCCAGTATGCGTTGGGTATAACTTTAATGATTAAAGAACCCCAAACCGTTACATGGCTTAGTAGACTTCTTTAAGCGTACTCACACATCATAGCAACTCAAAAAATGTATTGCTCTGTTTTGCACAGTGCTCTCTGCAGTCATATAGCCCTTAGGACCATCTTAACGCTAGTGATGTCGGTTGCTTGATAGTGGCTACCAGGTTTGTCTGAGATGTGTATGAATGTAGCCTGAGCCTTTCACTGCTGCTTCACACAATCAGAAGCTGATGTGAGACTTTTTGTTTACTTATTGAGAACACTGTTCCTTGGATCAAGGAAACTTTGGGAACAAACAAGTCGTTTATGTCTTCCCTTAGTCTTGTAACTGATAATTGTGCATTTTTTTCCAAAGGACTCCTTCTGTATAGGTTTAACCTAAAGTCTGTCTTGGAGCAGGGATTTAGTCTGAATCTGGCTTTTGCTAGGTATGAGGTCAGTACTGTTTCTGACACAAAGATCCTTGTTCTGCTTACCAGCTACTCATTCCTCATGCAGCTAGGTTAGTGGCTTCCTTTATTTTGGGGGGGGGGGGGGGGGGGGGGAAAAAAAGCTACTTCAGAAAAATCACACTAAATTTTCAACACCTTTAAGGAAAAATTATCTCCTAAAGGATCTTCCTGTCCCATTACGTAAGAAGGTGGCTTGTCTTCTGCCTCAAGGCCCTGACTTGAGGGGTTTGGGGCAGATCCTTTCCATTGTTTCACTGTGATATTTTTGATAGAAATCAGCTTTCTTAAATTAATCTTTTCTACAATATCTAAAAGTCATATGTTTCATAGGAAGTAGATCTAGTCTTTCCTCCACTTCCACCCAATAGCAAGAATCTTATTACAAAGGTCAGAAAAAATTAAATGAACTTGTTTTAACAAAGCCACATGCAGTTTAGCTTGCTCCGCGCCAGATTGTGTAGCCTGAACCATAGCGAAGACTTGAATAGTGCTTTGCTCCTTGAGTAGCCTATATTAGATCCTTTATTAGGATCTGAAGATTTACCATCTCCTTGTTTGGGGTAGGATTAAACTGTAATGTGTCTGTACCTGCAGCATATGTTTCTGATCCGTGGAACTAGAGGGGAAATTGTATAAATTGTATCTAAAAATAGCTCATGCACTGTGTGGCTCATGGGTTCTTGCTGCTTCCTGCTTGGGTGTGCTGACTGAAACTCCAAGCAGGTGCTATGGCATACATGTTTGCATTTTAATGTGCGTGTTGTACTGTCTTAGCAGCTCCTTGCCTAAATCTGTGAGATGGTGTGCACCTTTGCAGTTTCTCCTTCCAGATCACCGCCGGCGTTTCAGAGCAGCCACGTATTACTGAAGAAAGATAACCTCTCTTCTGCAGAGATTGAAATTAGGACAAGCTTGAGGTCTAATTACATTCAGCTGAGTGAGTGCAATGAGGTTTGGCCAAGTAGAGGATAAATTGTTCTGGGATGTTAACACGTGTCACATCTGATCTTTTGTTGCTGACCCACTCCAATAGTTAGGCAACCTTGCAGAAAGACACTTCAGATATTACTTACTATGTTTTGCTAATAACGTACTATTGTCAGCATAACGTATGAAATGTTGCACTGCTGAACATCTGCTTTTGAATAAACAGGCATGGGCATTCCAGTAGTCAGCCTCTAATCATAATTAGAGTATTTTTCCCATTAAATTGCTTCTGAAAAGAATGACATGCATAAATAGGGGGGCAGTTTTTTTAAACAGCCTTTTACAAACCCCACCCTTAAGTTGGCTAGTACTGTAAGCAAAAAAAAAATAGCGATTTGCTGCAGCCTTAAAGGTTTAAGATTGTTCATCGGTAGATTCGTGACAGCTGAATCTACTACCTCTTGGGTCAGAGGTGGTTGATCCAGTAATGATGAACTAACCATGTTTAAAAGTCAGAATTAACTGCTTGCCTAGATTCCCTCTTCAGTTTCAAGCAGGACTGGGCAGGTGAATGTACAAAAGAGAACAGCAGAGGAGGACAATGAAGTGACAAAGTCAAGTAGAATTCAGCTGTACTGTGAGCGCTTCTTTAATTAACCTCTTTGAGATAATTGCTTCTTGTCTTTATCTCTTGGCTGAATCTCTGTTGTGTTGCCAGAGGTCTGTTTCTTGGTGCTTCGAACAGTGCCTGTATGTAGCTGTTGCTGTTCAAAATCGTTGTGTGGCTTTACTCAAACATAGATGCCCCCTTTGGAGCTGTAATGTTTTCTTGGAAACTTCAGAACAAGTGAATGTCAAGATTAAGTAAAGACCATAAAAGTATTTTTGAGGAATGTATCTTGACATTTTTTTGGCAGATGGAGAGCAGACGCGTACAGATTCAACACATATTTTACTGGCGATGTGAGAAGTGTTATTTGTTATGTTGTAGGCTCTTAGCTCTGCCAGAGCTTCTAATCACGTGTCAAATTAACAAAATGTTAAGCCAGTGTCATGGTAGCTTGCACACCATGGGTTAGATTAGGCAGAATCTGCTCCATTCTTTCAGATTGTGGATGGGAAGAGTAAAATCCTAGTGTAATTTCTAACCTCAGTAAGGTAGGAGCATGCATTTCTGGTGCAGCGGAATTGTGTGGCACTAGCATGACGGCATCCTTCTGAAGAGGAAGTCCTCCTCCAAGACACCTGGCAGTTTGACGTTCCCTGGTCTCAAATGGTTTTGCTTAACTCCCAAGGCAAAGGGGCTGGAGGAGGTGTACTGTTAGCCAAAAAGGCTAGGAGTCCAACAGCAGCTCCCACTCTGCTTACAGCCACCAAATCTGAGCAAGTGGTGGGAAGTAATTGCTTTTATTTAACTCTCGTGAGTTTCATAATTCTGTTGCATGTCAGATCATCCATATTGTCATCCCTGCTAAAAAACAGACTCCCAGGAGTCGGTTCAGGTGGAACTGGCCTTGCAAACAGTTGTAAACTGAGATTGGTTACGGCAAGAACTGTTCACGTACTCCTCTTCCCCTGCCTTCAATTGCAATATGGTTCAAGAATGGATAAATAAGGTAATTCCTCCCCCCCCCAAGAAAAGAAAACCCTGCATCTTTATACCAAGGATTCATAATTTTAAAGAACCTTTACCTTCGGAACAAGGACACTCCTATTAAGCCAGAGAAGAAATTTGGAGCTCGGGATAACTTTGTAAAATGCTTTTGAAAGCTTGCTGTGTACTCCTGTACTAAAGCGTTTTGAAACTAGAATCCATCTGGATATTAATAGGAGATTTAAGACTCCCTCTTGTGGCTGCATTAAGCTGATCTTGGGCATCTGTGTGAAGATTTTGCCATCGTGAAAGTCCTAAGGCTACTTCAGTATTGCTAATAGAAACTTGGTTAGGTCTTTTGTCTCTGCTACAAAATTCACTTGAACATTGTCTCAACTTGATTTTTCCTACATATGAAAATTCTTGAATTCAGTATGAAGCGAGAAGAGGAAGAAAAATGGTTTGAAAATGTTCTGATCACCTCAGTCACATTTGATGTGACTTAAGGAAGTTAAGGCAGAGCCAAAGTAGATGGAGGTGGTTGGGAAATCCCAGTGTCGATTATATTTGCTTCTCTGAATCCAGAAAGGGGGTGTCCCTGGTGCTGCAGAGAACAGGATGGCTCTGAACCTGCAGGGCCAGTGCTAGCAGTGCGACAGGCAAACGCGGGAAGCAGGTTAATTGCAATATTTAACTTCATGTAAAAGCACATTATTTCTTTTTATTAGGAATAGATATGACCTCACTGAATGGTTTTAATAACGCAACCTTAACCTTCTGTTAATAGTGTTATGGTTTTTCATGTGAGCCCTTCTAGCTGGGGACTTGATCTGAGTCTGCTCTAAGACACCTTCTGCATGGTTGAGTGTGGTACAAATAGTACTTTGGCAAAGGGAGAAGATCTGAGAAAATGCAGAGCAGCAAACTAGAAGCAAAAAGCCTGTAGTGTTATTTTGGATATTAAGGCAGTAAATCAGCCCGGCAAGCAAAAGCAGATGCTGAAAGAGGGGTGGTTCCCGGACCCCAAAGGCAGGTCAGCAATGCAGCTGACTTGACGGTGCAGGGGTTATTCCTGGTTTTGATTTCTTTCTGCTTCAATGACAAGTTTCTCCACTCCTTTACACGTGTCGCAAAAGCTTTGGCAAGCCTAATGCATGCATGGGTGCAGGTTCCTCTTGTGTGTGATGTCTGTGCTTGACGAGAGCAATGCAGCGAGAGCTGGCAATGAGGGGAGCTGGCAATGAGGGGAGCTGCGTTGCCTGTGTGCTCCGAGTCTGCCTGGCTGGTTGGGAGCTGCTCCAGGCTACCACGGGGCTGGGACAGAAGCGGAAGCTGTTGGGACATGGAGAGCTTTGCTGTACCTGACTGGATCCAGGAATAAGGGCTCAATGAGAGCATTTAATAAGGTAAAAGCTCTTCTATCTTGCCTGCATCCCAAGCATCTCCCCATTGCTGCTGCCCTCGCTGACAGCGAAATAGCTTAGATCACGTTTGCCTGTTGCAGATGCCTGAACAAAAGGATTCTAACCTGCGTGTTCCTGTGCTCTTGGCTGGGCTGGCAAATGCAGATGGTTCAAGTGAGTGTTACGTTCACGCTGTGTTCTGCAGCACAAAATGGTGAACAGCTTTTGCTGTTTTGATAGGGTTTAAATTAATTTCTCCCTTCTCACCAGGGGAAATGAGGGCTGGGAAGAGCGGCCATGCCTGTTGCTTTGTTAAGCTCGGCTTTGGCTCCGATTCTGGCACCAAGAAAGGAAATAAAATACAGGGAAGGGGAGCTTTATGAAAGAGCTATGGGTCCGCTCCCAAGTTGATAGGTTAAACTGTACAAAACACTGACTCTGAGGCATTGCTCTAATATTTGTAAAATCAGCATGGCAGCTCTGTTAAGGGCTGTGAGTCACCCTGAGGGTGGTTCAGCTCTTTATAAGTAGTAGCACAGCCTTCTGCTTCCGTGCAAACGGGAGCGAGAATTTTAATGGAGTCAGAATTACCCCTTTGGTTAGAGCACCGTCTGACCTCTGCTTTGTTCTCGCTGCCT